TCCTTCTTTCCTGTGAAGAAAGAAAGACGTCACTAATCTTTGATTTCCTTGAGCAGGAGACCAGCTATGTAAGAGCCGATGGAGAGATGGGAACTTCAGATGGCTTTTCTTTCTAATGCTGTTTATTCCATAGCTTAGGTTACAGCAGGGGGTCGTGGGTCAGCCTACAACTGCTGGCTATAGGCAAGCCATGTGTCCTGAAGCCCCCTTGGTTCTGGTTACAGTGCATTATATCTCTTTCTTTTTCTGTGCATATTATTAAGTAACAACCAAGCAGCATCACACACAATACCTTTACATTTACATATATCCTATCAAAACTGCTAAAATTACCATACTATGTTAGTGACTAACTAATCATCTGAGTTAGTAATTACACATGAAACTTTAAAACTTGTTTTGCAGTGGAAAATTCTTTTTGCTTTGGTGAAAAACATCTTCCTGTCTGTCTATGTATTTTTCTTGGTAGCAAACACACTTTGAATACCACTTAGCCTGTTGGACTTTAGCCATGAAACTTCCTTCTAACTGGCTAAACCTTTGCTCTAAACCTTCCAACTTGACTAAACCTTTGTTCTTCTCAGCTGTTTCAGCAACAACCATCTCTAAAAACATCTTTTTATATATCAAAGCTTGCTTTGATAAGTTTCTAGAGAACCTTCTGCTAAGCATTCACATCCATAAAACTTTTCTGTTAAATTCTCATCCTTCCCAACACATCTATCTGACACAAGAATGCCCAAAGGCTCTGGATTTAGCCTCCCTGGCAGAGACTCTGTCCTCGGGGCTCTTCTGTGGGTGGTTTTTCCCTTCCTCATTCCCCATTAGGAATCCTCACCTCACAGGAATTCTGTTTGGCCACATGAAGGCACAATCTGGAAATGGTTTTCCCTTTACCCTCAGACTTTTAGCAGGGAGGGCCCAAGAAACTCAGAACAAATTTTCATCCCTTTTCAACCTCTCATTTGTGCTTTCTGTAGCTCAATAAACAGGCTTCCACCTTTAAAAAGATGGCCACAGGCTTATTTTCAAACCCACAATGGCTTGAGCCAGCAGGAATTCCAGGAGTTTCCCTGGACTCTTCTTGGCGGCTCCTGGCTGTGGTTTTGCTGTTTGCAGCTGGAGCAAGAACAGGACCCATGGCCAGGGAAGGCCGATTATTCTTCAGCTTTCCCTGCCCTGGGGGCAAGAGGCTGTTCCCAACACACTGTGCCTGAGCCAGGCCCTGGGGCACAGTCTGGGGCCAGCCAGGCCCACACTGGAGTCTGCCCCAGCTGACTCCTTCCCTTTCCCAGCACCAGCTCCTGCAGGCACAGCTGCTCTGCACAGGCCCTGCACTCACAGGCACGTCCAGGCTCTGCTCAGGGAAGCTCCTCTTCCTGCTGATCATCAATAGGGAAACAAGGCTGATCTCACATGTGCCCCAGCACAGGACCAGCAGTGGGGCAGCAGGAGAAGGGCAGTGGGGAAATGGAGAGAGATGGGGTCAACACTTCAAGGGGGAACCTTAGCAAGTATCAGGCAATGAGAGAACTCCCAGCACACACCCTCTGCAAAGATGAGGGACAGAAGAGGGACTTTGACCACCTGCACCTGCAGAGGTGGTCACTTCAGCATGGAGGTGTTTCAGTGCCATGGATCACAGAAGCTGTTCCCCATGGGAGGATTGTCCCTCCATGTCCCCTCTGAGGAAATGAGCAGGATGAGCTCACAGAGTGGTTGGCCTGTAGAGCAGCTTCTGCCTTCAGATGGATGAGTGTCTGCTTGGCAATCGCCCTGCTCACCTTGGTTCTTCTCCAGCTCTGCTCTGAGGAGCTGATGCTCCTTCTGTCTGGACTCCTGCAATTCTTTGAAATATTTCTTTACGGCTTCAATTTTTTCTCTGAGCTCCTGGAAGGCTTCATCTATCTTACATTCCAGGACTTTTGTGGTCTTCTTCTCCTTTCTCCTTCCTGTAGAAAAAGATTGGTGTCACTGGGAAACTGACACTGCTTGTTTGAAGGAGAGACCACCCATCCTGCCTGAGGATGATCAAATCCTCTATTTTAAAGTCTCTTCTTAAGGGTCTCTTCTTGGGTCTTCCTACAGGTTGGTTTTTGGTTTCCTCTCCTCCAGGCTATCCTGGTCTGTGCTGGGAAAAGCCAGTTGCTGGGACATCCCCTGCACCCAGGGAGCATGGAGTCCTGGGCATCTGCATGGGGATGGGCAATATCACAAAGGACTGGCTGGAGGCCTTTGGAAATGGGAATTTCCAAACAGGTGGGATTGTTTGATCTGACTGCACTGGGCCCTCATGCACTTCTGTATCTCCTTCCTGCTTGGCAGGGTTTAGTTTCCAGGTAGTGGGGCAAAGGACTCACCTGCACAGAAAGGCTTCTGCCATTCATCCCTGTAGCTAAGCCCAGGGTGAGATTCCTCCTTTAGTGTTCAGAGAGAGGAAAGGAAATCCCAGAAGGGATGTGCTATGCTTTTGAAATCATTACCAATTGCTCAGCAATACCTCCTGCTTGAGTAGGATGTGTCTCTGGTCAAAGAAGGTCACCTCTCTGACCAAACTGATCCTACCCCAAAGGCCAGGCCTTCTGCTCTTTAAGGGGTTCTGCAGGCAGTGTGCTCAGGGAAGAGACCTCCACTGGCCTCACTTCTCTCAGGGATAACACATCACATCCCAAGAGTTCCCAAGGATGACCACAGACAAGAGGAATGGCATTCAGCACACTTACTTGATTCTTCGAACATCATTTCTACGAGTTTCTCAACCCCATAGCCAACGACCGTTGTTACTGGACATCAGGTACATATGAAAATAAAATCAAGAAGAAAAAGAGGATTTTTAACAAGGGCCTTTCCCTAAGAAACTCCAGGATTGCACTGAGCAGGTTTAGGGGCAGAACACATCCTGCTGCTGGCCCAGGAGCCATGAGTTCCTGTGGACCAGGAGCCCCACAGCAGTGCTGGGGGGGGTTTCTGACCCTCGGGGCCCACTGAGGCTCTCCTGGGCCAGGAAGCTGCCTCAGCTGCCACAGAACCTAGGCACCACACAGGTCCCACCAGAGCACAGCCACCACAAGAGGGTGAGGCTCTTCAGCCTCACCCCACGGGAGTGGAGAGGGACCTCCCAGGTCCCTGTTCTGTCCCTTTGCACATTCATTTCAGCCTGACCCTCAAAGCCTTGCTCATCAATAACCCCTGCTAGAGCAGGGTGTGTCTCTTATCAAATAAGGTCACCCCTCTGATCAAAATGGTCCCACCCCAAAGGCCAGGCTTTCTGCTGTGCTCTGGAAGGGGTTCTGCAGATAACATGCTCAGGGGAGAGACTTCCACTGGCCTCTCTTCTCTCGGGAATAACACCTCGCATCCCAAGGGCTCCCGAGGATGCCCACAGCCAAGAGGAATGGGATACATAAGTCCACACTTACTTATGGTCTTAGTTATGCCTCCTGGGACCCACCTCGACCGGCTCATTTCTTCTAGCCACTGGTTCACATGAAAAAAAAAAAAAAAGAAAAAGCAGAAACTTCACTACGATATTTCCCTAAGGATTTTCAGAATGCATTAAAGAGCTTTTCTGGGACATGTATGTCCCTTATACTACTCAAACCTCTGATTTACTCAAGGTTTTTAAAATTACCTATTTTCCCTTGCATCACTGTCTAAAAATAAGTAATATAACTCTTAGCAAAAAAATTCGCCATGACCTCGTTTCTTGTTACCTGTGTCCATTTTTCAAGATTAACTCTGTAATGCAAGGGAAAAGAGGGGAAAAATCTTTGTGGTAGGCAAGGACTAGAGAAGAAAACACAGTTGTTAAGATGTTCTGTTGTACTTCCAGCTGGTCCCTAACCCATCTTGTCTGCTCTGGGGCTTTAAGAATTCTCACAGACGCACACATCATCTTCCTTGGTCAAAATGAAGACCTTCTGCTTTTGCAGAGTGCAGAATCCAGTGTTCAACCCCAGCCACAATTTTCCTCAGAGGAAAGGGACCATTTTCCATTCCTTCAGACTCAAATCCTGGAGGTTATCCTGACTAGCTATGAAGAAATATATGGAGAAAAGACAGTGGTGACCTTGGCTGGTTGCCAGATGCCCACCAAACTTCTCTCACTTCCCTTCCTCAATTAGACAGGAGGAAAAAATACAACTGACGAGCTCACATAAAGCCTGGGACATCCCTCACCAGTTGCCATCATGGGCAAACCAGACTCAACTTGGAGACAATTGCTTTCCTTTCTCAGCAATTCCCAATAGAGCAGAAAGCCAAGTAACAATGACAAAACCAAAACAACCTCACTCCCACTCTCCCCTCCTCCTGGCTGTGAACACACCTGGTGCAGGTGGCTGGGGGCAGCTGCAAATTGAGCTCCAGGTGGGAGCCCGAGACAAAAGCTCATGAACTGCCAACAAAGCACAGCAAAGGGCACCAAGAGTGGTGGCACGGATGGAGAAGGGACACTGAGAGACCCAGCAGGAGCTGAGGGCTTGGGACGAAGAGCCAGACTTGGGCCTCAGGCACGCAGACTGTGAGGAAATAAAACTGAGGGATTCCTTTGTTGGAGGAACAGCTCAGGCTGTTCCTGTGTAATTGTGCTGGGAATAAATGGCTTTATGGACTCAGACATCTGAGACTGCTGTGGGAAACCTGAGCTGAACCAGGGAGGATACAGGGGCTGAGTATGAGAGTGGAGGGTGTGGGGAGTCCAGCAGGGCCCATTGGGGCACTGGAGCCACTGCTGTGGAGGGGCTCTTGTCCCAGCATCAAACCTCTCTGGTGGTGGGAGTGTGCTGGCCAGAGAGCCTCAGGAATGGTCAGACCAGGAAGTTTCCTTAACACCCCCTTCTGCTGCTGCAGAAAGCAGAGCCTTGCTGACCCAACAACTCTGCCTGTCCCTTCTGATTGCATTCATCAGAGCAGCAATGACAGGTGAAGGCAAAAACAGGGACTGCTCAGGAGTGAGGAAAGGCCTGCTCAGGGCTCAGCTCTTTTTGTTCTTTGCCCAGGTCCATGTTCCACAGAAGGAGGAGGACCTGGACTGAATTAAGGAACCCTTTGCCAAAAGCTGCTGCATGTCAAGAAAGCTTTTCTGGTGTTCGAGGGGAGTACAGAGCCATGTGAAGAAAAGAGCTCCACTGATTACTGTAAATAGAGAAATGCCAGCAGGCACCCAAGAGAAGTCACAGCCCCAGGGCTGGTGGCTGTCCCAGAACTGAAGGAGTCAGACAGGAAATACCAGGGACCTTTCCCAGGACTGAACCCTGCTCTATTTCCTCCCACTACCTTTTCCTATTTTCCTTCCTCCTCCTTTTCCTATTTTCCTTTCCTCCTTCCTTCCTCTGGTCTGAAAGGAGGGAAAGCATATAAATGGCATAAAACAGTCAATATTTGAGGGGTTTTCTCCTGAAAGCAGAGCAATAGAGTGATGGCTTCTTAAAGGGTAACAATGAATAGATGATGTGCATGTGGAACTGTCCTGAATACACCTCTGCTATTGATAACTGATGAGCACAGACATTCACCTGAGATCACCACTCATGGAAAGGTAGTTGTGCTTCCAGGAATAGGTCACCCCACTTCTCACATTCAGAGACAATTTGTTTTCTCTGTCTCTCTTTGTCTTTCTCTCATATTTAGAAGGAGCCCTGACAACTGGTTTAGATAGGAAAATTATTTTATGCAGGGCCAGATCTGCAATCCTGAGCCAAAGTGGAAGCTTTGAGGGGAAAAAGAAAAGGAAGGGGGAAAGAGAGAAGAAGGGAGAAGGAAAAAGAAAATGATGGGGAGGGGGAAGGGAAGGGAAGGGAAGGGAAGGGAAGGGAAGGGAAGGGAATGTAAGACTAATTAGTGGAACATCATGCTTACTTATATCACACAACGCTTAGTACACATGCACAGCCTGTAAGGTTATCCAGAGGACAAGAAGGATGAGTGTAAGCCTTTGTCCAAAGACCACCGAAAGAAAGACTGAAGACCCCTTAGCAACAAGTGAAGCATGTGCCGTATAGTGATGTAGATTTTAAGAATTGAAAGTAGGAGTAAACTTACAGGAAGCATTAATGAATATGCATAAGCATACAGTATATAAGTTTAGTTTGAATTGCTTTGTTTTGTATGTGAAGTAGGGTGAGAAGCACTCTCTGTACCCCAGTCAGTTTTGCTTATGTTTTAATTATACCTAATTACTGGCAAATTACATACATAAATTGTATTCTCTTACTAAATTGTATTCCTTTTATACCAAATTGCTATCAATTCATTAAAATGTATTCTTTTACTAAATTGTATTTTTTATACCAAATTGCCATTTAATTCACTAAATTGTATTCATATATAATTAAACTGCTGTTAATAGACCTAGTTGTCTAATTTCATTTATAACAGGAATAATTTCAGATCAGAAAGAGAGATTTAGATATAGATTTTGGGCTCTGTAGCCCCCATTTAGGGAGCTTTGGTGCTCCAAACCAGCACTTTAGGGAGCTTTTGGGCTGAGAAACATTAATTTCGGGAGCAGAAGGAGCAGCCCCTGGGGAAACGCGGGGGCAAGGGGCTGGCGCTTACCTGGGGCAAGGCTGGGAAGAAGCAGCTCCGCGGTGGGGGTCACTCCTTCCCCGCTGTATCCCGGTTATATCTCACCCTGCCGCTCCCGATCCACCTCCACGGGCTCCTCCCGCCCCCCAGCACCTCCTTTCTTGCTTTTGCACTGATTTCCCGTAAATCCCGGGGAAACTGAAAGTGAAAATGCTCCTACCCGGGGGTCGGCTCCTTGGGCTGGGGGTGGGAAATGGGCAGAGCCAGCGGCCGCTCCCGGCTCCTGGAGCGCTCCCAGGGGCCCCGGGATGCTCTGGGAGGGGACTGGGAGCACTGGGAGTGAAGCCCCAGTCTCGGGATGGCAAACAGCGCACGCTGCTTGCCTTAGGGGCCACAGGGCTCTGGATTTTGGGAACTTCATAGTTCTGAAAACTCTGTTTTGGCAGCTTTGGGACCGTGACAGTGGTTTCAGGAGCTTTGGAGCTGAAAAAGATCAGTTTGGGGGGTTTTGTGGCTCCATGTTATAAATGACTTTCAAATTTCCAAACAAGCAAATTTAATTAATTGATAATATACTTTAATAAATTGAATATAAAATAATAAAAGAATACAATTTAGTAGATATATTCAGATATATATATATCTATATATATATATGAATATAATTGGCCAGTGGTTACAAATGGTTAAGGCATAAGCAAAACCAACCGGCGTATGGGGGGGCTTCTCACCCCACCTCACGTATGAAACAAAGCACTTCAAGCTAAACTTATATACTGTAAGCTTATACATATTCATTAATGTTTCCCATAAGTTTCCTCCTATTTTCTGACTTTACGTCACTTTTCTTCACAGCGCATGTTTCACTTGTTGCTAGGGGGTTTTCAGTCTTTTTTTGGGCGTCTTTTGGCAAAGGCTTCTCTTCTTCCTCGTTGTCCTTTGGATAACCTTACAGCTTTGCATGTGTGTACTAAGCCTTGTGTTATGTTAGTCTGCTAGTTAGCCTTACATTTACTAATCTTTAGGCCCAATGACTAAATTCGTTCTAATTTTGGTTCATCTCAAGGCCATTTTGGTCTTGAGACACCATTTATCTTCTAAACTACATCCTGTACCTTAATTTTGACATGTAGCATCTGCAAAGGGGTACATCTGCTTTTTAACACTGATTCTTGATTGTTTCTAATAATAACTTTAATAATAGTTACAATTTAGTTAGCACAAATCAATTCCATTTATTACACTCCAGAACACTGATTTTAGGAGGGTTTTGGCTTAGGGAAAAAAGAACAAAACAGTAACTTAGGGATCTCTGAGTCTCAAAGAAAGCAATTTAGGGGTATTTTGAACTCAGAAACAGCACTTCAGAGAGATTTCAAGCTCAGAAACACACACTTATGGATATTTTGGGGTCTGAAACACCAATTTAGGGTGCTGAGAAACACTCATTTAAGGAGGATTTGGGCTCAGAAATATCAAATGAAAGAGTTTTTGACCTCCTCAACAAAAAACCTATTTAGGGAGGGATTTTCTCACAAGGGCTGGAATACAAGTATGGGGAGGCCTGACAGTCTGACAAACTGCCAACCAAACCCACCATGGCAAGTGCTGGGTGCCTGTGGTGGTGAAAACAACCACTGCATGACTGCAAACATACCCTGTGCCTGTGGTAACAGCCATGGTGGGAAAGGGAAAACTGGAATTTTTGGTAGGCACAGGAGCTGGTTATTTGGTGTTAAATACCCTGCAAGAGAAGTTAAGTGATGATTCTGTCACAACTGTCAGTGCCACTGGGATTTGTAAAATATGCCCCTTTTTCAATCCAGTGAAATTCAAATGGGGAAAACTGTGGAGAATCCATCATTTTTTGTACTTGCCTAACCCTCCAAAACCATTATTAGGAGGAAATTTGCTGGAAAAATTGAATGCAGAGATCAAGTATTAAGAAGGGGACATTCAAATTAAAATCCCTGAGCCTACTATATGGAAGCTTCCATTTTTTATGTTACAAGGAACTGACTTCCCAAGCTGAACCTGTCCCAAAGAAAATTAAGGATGCAATAGTCCGCATTGTACGGGCCAGTGGGATTCCTGGAAAATCAAAAGGAGAGCAACCTGTACAAATCAAAGTAAAATCAGACACAGGCCTGGTAAAACAAAACCAATATCCATTAAAACACAGAAGCTGAAAAGGCTTATTACCTGTCATTAACAAGTTTTTAAGGTACAGGTTATTGATGTAATGTGAGTCTAAAGATAATACTTCAGTTTTGCCAGTCAAAAATACAAAATCCTAATGGTAAAGATTATGTGTTAATACAAGACTTAATCAGAATTAATAAAATAGTATGGGAGCTAACCCATACACAATCTTAACTGTGATAAAAGAAAATTTGGAATGCTTCGCTGTAATATATTTAAAGGTCACCTTTTTCTGCACATCTCTAAGATATGAGAACCAGGAGCTGTTTGCATTTGAGTCAGAGAATCCACAGAGAGGATTGTGTTACCACAAGGATTTAAAAATAGCCCCAAGTTTCTGGGAAATAACTGGCAAAGGAATTAGAGGAATGGAAGACCTTTAATCTGCAGGGTTGTAATTTGTTGTTGATATCCTGACAGCCACCAAAACTGCAGAACAGTGCTGTGACCTGACTGTTGAATTGTTAAACTTTTTTGCATTGTGATCACAGGGTATCTAGTGTGAAGGCCAAGACATGAAGAAGACTGTGTGACCTTTCTGAGTTTTAAAATCTTCCAGATCAAAGGAAACTGAGCATGAGTCATGAGTTGTAAGGGAATTGCTTTCTTTTTTGGCATTGTCAACAGGTGGATCAGTAATTTTAGATTTAGTCCAACCTTGGCATGGACTTTTAAAAGTGTCCACAAAGACTTTACTATATGGACTGACAATACTTGGGCTGCTGCATTCAAACAACTTAGGAAAGCACTGATCAGTTCTGAGTTTGGGCCTGCCAGATCCCAAGAGATCTTTTGAATTAGTTTCTTATGCCAAGGATGGCTCAGCTGTTTGTGAGCAGTTGCAGCTACTGCAGCAGGTGCTGTCAATTTGGGAAGCTCCTAAATTGGCTCAGGGATAGATGGTACAGAGGGGGCCACTGGCTGTCCCCAGCTGAATGCTCAAGTTCCAAGCGGTACTAATGGGCCCTCAAAACCACCTCTGTTGTTAATCCTGCTGTGTTTCTGTTGGCCTCCAAAGTACTCCAGAACATGATTACTTACAATCAAAGAAGTTTATTGCCAACTGCATTTGAAGGACAGCCCGATAGAGAACCCAGACTGGGAACTGTACACGGATGGAAGTAGCTTTGTTCACGATGGAGAAGATGTCAGGATATGTGGTGACTTCCCTGAATAAAGTAGTTAAATCTAAAGCTCTTGCATCAGATGTTTCAGCACAGAAGGCTGAATCAGTTGGTCTAGCACAGGCATTGGAACTGAGAGAGAGAGACGGGAAGGGAAGGGAAGGGAAGGGAAGGGAAGGAAGGGAAGGAAGGGAGGAAGGAAGGAAGGAAGGAAGGAAGGAAGGAAGGAAGGAAGGAAGGAAGGAAGGAAGGAAGGAGTGTGTGTGAGAGAGAGAGGGGGACAGGGGTTAGGTAGAAACATAAATAGAAACATTAGGTAGAAACACCCTTCTGGAGGTCCTAATGTGTTTCCCCTCTGTCTGGTCTTGGTGGCAAGGGTCCCCCACCACCAATGAAAAGTATAGAATCTGTTATGAATAAGATAAAAGGCACGGAGGACTGACTGGCAGACCTCGGGAGGAGCCAAGTTTACATATAAGCTGGGTTTGTGTTAAAAGACTGAGCCTTTTCCTCCTCCCTGACGAGGCACTGCCCTCTGCATCCAGCAAAGGATGGAGACTTTGCTGAGTCCTCCTTTTGCTGCCAAGAGATTTATAGAAACTTTTCTTGTTAACTTTAATTGCACTGGCCAAATTAAATTCCAGTATGGCTTTGGCCCTTCTCATTTTTTTGCTATATCACCTCACAACATCCTTGTAATACCCTAAGTTTTCTGCCTCTTCTTCCAGAGGTGACACATGCTCTTTTTTGCCCTGAGTTCCTGCCTAAGTTCTCTCTTTAACCAGTCTAGTCATTTTCCCACACCAGCTTGTCTTATGGCACATGAACTCAGCTCCTTGAGCTTTAAAGTTTCTTTTTTAAAGCATCTCCAGCTTTCCT